ATGCCGCTCCTTATATAAATTATTAGTTTTATATAGGCTATAATTCTTATTATTTGGTGTATCTTAGTATTAAATGTAGGAAACAGAAATAGCAATAAAAATTGGAAATTTTGTAAAACATTTAGAATGTTCAATCTTTATTCTGTTACATTGCGTTCTTGTTTAGGAAAGATACTGATTTATTGTCTATTGGAAGAAAAGGGAGAGGGAGCTATGTCAATAAACATCTAGAGGCTATGGAGGGGTACAGTACTTCGAATTTATTTTTTCGGGCATTTATTTAACATTTAATTTTCTAAAAATTACTATTATTATATTGACACAAAGTATTAGGTGCCCAAATCATGTGCACATAAATAATCAACTCTTGTAGGTACTCAAGGGATTGAGAACCGAGTCAAAATAAAATACAAAATGGCGACCGACCCTTTTCTACAAACAGGCACCTCACCCCACCGAAGTCAGGTGAGGGAGAGTACCATTCACAGTCATTATAAAAAGTGAACTCTGACCTTAGAACTGAACACGTAGTTTCTTCTATGTTAAATAAAATTTATAATCTAATTTCGCAAATTTGGGAGTGCTTATAATATGACGTTAAAACGGTTTTATGTCGTTACAAGTGGGTTTTTTAACATTATTTTAACATTTTTTAAACATTATTTAACATTATTAATAATAATAATTCTTAATTGTTTATTAAATTAAAAAGAAAGGTACTGTACTTAAGGGTTAAGAAGGCGCCAGTCGGAAATAGCGTTCAAAGGCGCGATTTTGAATGAAAATATCAAAATAACAATAGACTAGTAAATTTAAATCTAAAAAGAAGTAGATTTACCGATAAGGTTGTAAAAATGAAAAAATGCAAAATGCGGTTGTCGTAGCATTCCAGGTTGTCATATTACAGGCCGTACGACCGCCTGCATATATCTTTCTTATCTCCCCTCTCCTGACTAAAATATATCGACCCTTTTATTTGCATTAAAATAAAATAATAGATATGAAATTTTCTCATTTTGGCCCCCATTATGCAAAATATCATATTACAGCTGGCAGTTAACGTGTTAAATTCTTCTTTCCAGTTTCCCTTCCTAAGCCCTGAGTTATCCGAATTCTAGAACAGTGTTCCGCAAGCTTTTTCTATTCGCGGCACACCCATGACTCGACATGTATCAACACGGCACACTAAAATGTTATCCCCCTCAAAAGCGTATGATATGATACTATTAATATAATTACATAATGCCACTAACCTATTATTATTATTATTAAACAGACATCAACACCAGTGAGCTAATTTATTTTACATTTTATTTCTTAAAATACATAAGAATGCGTGGCTTGTAATAAAGAATAAACGATCATCATCTTATTTCATAAGTGCCGCAGCACTTATGAGATAACACTTAAAATACAAGCATAAGAAGCACAGCAATTGTGATAAAAATATATAAATAAAGCTTGAAATTAATAGAATATGTAAAAGTTGTCTTTTTCTTTTATTAAAATTTGTCTAATTTTATCTGTAAAACTTTTATCTTCTAAGATTTCTTTCGTTAGTTTAACTTGAAGGCATGCAGATATCCATTTTTATTCCAAAAAAACCCCTTGCTACAGCTAAATCAGTGGAAATAGCCTTGAAACTTCCGCTCGCGGGAAATGATGATTCTCACAAGGCAACGTGAATGGCATTTTTCACCGGATGCTTGCCCTCTGGTGTTTAAAAACAAAACTATTCTATTACTACTTTACTCGGAGCATGACTAACAGAAGGGACAAGCAACATTTCTGTAATAATACAAATTTATCTTAAAATTACATAGAGAAAACATAAAGAAGATTTAAGATAAAGTTGCGGCTCTTTAGTTCCATACGCAAATATTATTTATTTTATCAAAAAAAAAAAACATTTAAAAATCGTTCTGAATCGATTAACGAGGATTAGGCACGGATTCTATCTCTCAGCCACTTGTACTCGCTTTTCATCGCACCCCTTCCCCGTGACACGCGTCGTCACTGTCGTCAGTCCGTTGGAAGCTCTCGAATGACGCCGCCGTCGTCAGATGTTTCTATGAGTTTTAATTCGCTTTCGACGCAAGACAATTTTTCTTATGAATAAATAGATTAATTTTTTTAATCAAAAAACTTTATTTATGCGAGTACTATTTATTGTTGGCAAGAAAAAAATTTGTGGCTCTTTAAAAACTTTGAAATTTTGTAAATTGTAATTTTTGGCTCTTCCAACTCAAAAGGCTGCCGACCCCTGTCCTAGGGCAATCTTCGGTTCAGCCCGTGAAAAAGTTTTCTTTCCCATTTGGCCAGGGGGCAAAAGCTATTGGTCATCCCTGGTCTAGGCACACGGGGATGTTTGTTTTTTTTGTATGAATATAAAAATAGAGAAAACGATTATCATTTTTTTAAATTTTAAAATACTAATTAATTCTATTTGTTTTCTATTAAAATATGGAATTTTTTCTAATGTATTATTCACGTTGTTTGAACATTGTGTAATTTTATTCTCAACATTTCTGCTCTCTCTCCACGATTTACGATTGGAGAGTATGCAACAAAGTAAAAATAAAAACACTATAAACATATAAATTATCTTTAACAAAATTAATTTTAACGTAGTTTTGAGGAAAATTCTTTTAAATCAAAAAATTATGTAAAAACATATTAATATTTACTTTTATATGCATAAAACATTTCTTGTCAATGATTTTGATATTTATTTATCTCCATGTATTTTACACTTAAATGTAAACCTCCAGTTTATTGTACTTTTCCAAATCAAAATAAATATTTATTTTACATAGATAAAAGGGCCAAACGAACATTCAGGGCCGTGCATGAACGAGTTATTATTATAATTTTATTTATAATCACTTCTATCTGTTCATTTTTAAATTCTAACTCATTCATTACTTTCTTCTCAGCACTATTTTTCATAAAAATAATTCCAAAACAGATTACTAAAACAGATTACTAAAAAGTATTCATATATATAATATTTTACATTAAAAAACTAATTTATTTTATTTCCAAAACGGTCATTGCCAAAAGATTTACACAAAATTGGGATTCTTTAACATTAATGAATTCACATTATAAATGAATATTCATACATGAAACAAACTGATAAGAAAATTTTATTTCTAAATGAAGTAAAGGTTAAAGTGATGATTTGATTGTATTAATTTTACATCCTAACAATTAAAAACTAGAATCGAGTAAAAGAAAAGTCAATATACAACATTTTAATTAAAAACATGAGAAAATATTTTTTTTACACTTAAAACATTCAAGGTTCTCATTAGCTACAATTCTTCCATCTCATAGATAATAGTAAGTTGCCTGTTTTCTTTCATACCATGTACATAAATCAACAAAATTGAATAAAATTTCGGAAAATTACAGACAGTGATGAACAGAAAATATATTAAATTATTTTCACTTGATCCCTGAGCGTTTGTGCCCATCATTGGTCTGAAAATAGAAAAAAAATTATTTATGATTTAATTGATAATATTTTTAGGTCATTAACTTTATTTAAAAGTTGTTATAATTTTTAAAATTAAAAGAAAAAAAGTTAGCCAAAATTAGGTTAGGTTAGGTTAGGTTAGAAGCACTTGCTAAAATTGGTCTTGAAAAGTTCACAATAAATGTTGCACGAAAATTTTAAAACTGGAAAATAAGATTTATGTTCTTATGTTCCTAATGGTCCAATAAATGTTCCAAGTTGAAAATATTTTTAAAGCTCATCCTAGAGCAAGTGGATTTTCAGCACATGTCTTTAAATGTTATATAGTATAGTTTTCTTCCCTCTTCTCATTTCCTCTAAAACTCTTCATCTTTCCTTTTCAAAAGCTATGCCGTAAGGTTCGGCCTTCTAACACTTTTAAACATAACATATCATATATAGTATAGTTTCTTGCCAATTAATAAGACTATAAAGAATGGAAATATTTTTTGAAAAAACACTAACAGACTGTCAATATAATATNGTGAAATTATGGTTTTAAATAATGAAAAACATTTAATATTTTAAATTATTTTGATGTTTAAGTTATTACGTCATAGGAAAGTCACAGGAAATAGAATGGCGTCATCAGGCGTGACGTGTTGGTCACGTGACCTACACGTCACTACATAATCACGTGCTTTTGTTTACTATATTTGTCACTATTATATGTTATAAAGTAATTCACAAAGTTAAATAAAAATGCGAAAAATAACAAAAAGCTATCAAAAACATACGTATAACAACTAAAACTAACAAAATAATAAAAAAAATCAACATAAGTGACTTTCATACATTGCATTTACGCTTTAAAAAAAAATTATTATCAGAAATCATCAAAAAGTATAATGGAAATATGTAATGAAGTAAATAAATTTGTAATATCACAAAAATTAGCACAAAAATTAAAGAAAAAGAGAGAAAAAGAAACATTTACCTCTAGGCTTTATGTGACCTTGAGTTGTGTAAGAGGTCTGTTTACGTAAAAAATCAAAAATGACAAATTTATTTCAAAATAAAATCCAAAACAATTTTTTCTATGTAAAATAAACAGAGAAGAAAACAATCGCGAAAACTGCATTCGTCTAACATGTATAGTTCTCAAGAAATAATTTTTCTAAACCGTTAACGCTAAACTGCAGAAAATTCTGCACTTTGAGGTTTGCTCCTAGTAACTTTTCTGCAGAAAATTCTGCACTTTGCAGTGAAGAGGGCAAAGTGCAGAATTTTAATTAACCCAAAATTAACCCGTTCTCCATACAAGCTCTCGACGGCAAGGGGACTGTCGTTTCGAGTTTGCAAAGTATTTGTCAAACAAGAACTCAGGTCTTCCAGAACAGCTGCTATTAAAAAAAAACATAGACTGATTATTGATGATTCATTATATAAAATATTTTTAATTTATAAAACACTTCATATAAAAATTCAAGATTTAATTTCTCTACCATCCACTAGGATCGCTCAAGATCGTTATCACGTGCTTTTTAGAGTTGTGAACTAATTACTTGAAGTAAACACGTGACAAAAGTGAACGAGTTGATGTAATAGTGCAATTTATTTATGAAATGATGATTATTTGAATCTATTGAATAATTCGTTTCAAGTGTATCGGATTTTAGCAGAAAGAAAAGTAAATCGTTCGTGTAAAACAATTTAACATTTATTTGAGATTTATTTTTAATGATGGATATAGAAGAGAAGGCTACAAAGTATGGTGTGTCTTCGACTTTATTGCATGATTGGAATAAGTAAGTAATTTATTTGCAGTAGAATTTTTAAAGCTTTGTTTAATTATTAAAATAAATCATGGTAAAAACTCTTCAGATACTGATTAATTTTATTTTCTGTATATGTTACCAGCAAGATTTGAAATAGTGACAAACTACGTTTTTCTAGACAGTATGCAGTTTATTGTAACTTTTAGGTATAAGATTACAACTCTGAATGAGAGATTTTCCATCCCCTTAGAATTGTAGCTCCTTATACAAGCAAAAAAGTCAATGGAACCATACCGTTACATGTGCCCCTTCATGAGATATTTGCCTCTAAAGGCAGTTTTTATTATGAACCAGTACTACTGTCTATTCTCCACACATTGCATGTATGTATGTAGTCACTCATTTTGATGCTCACCATCGCTTTCACCTCAGTGCTCATCATCTGGGTTTGAGCCACATCTCCTTAAAACTGTATAACGTCAATTATTCCATGAACAGTCAAATGGGCTACTCAAAGCCAGCATGGTCGCATGGTCTAAATAGCTAAATGCGACAGTCTTAGTGGAGTGACGTGACTCCTGATTATGTGTGTCCTGGAAATAGTCTAATTTTGGGGGCTGTATCTTGCAAAGGGTTACATTTAGAGGTATGGTTCCTTTGACCATTTTGCTCTTGTGGGTATGATCTATAGCTCTTAGGGCCATGCTATGATGCAGAGAGGTGGCACCTTAAGGAGACGGCATAAGTAGCATTTCAGGGGTGGCATAAGTGGCATTTTGAAGACTTGCATCATACTGAGAAAATCTACTGCATGGCCCTGATAGCTCTAGTAAGGTTCCAACCATCTCATTCAGAAATGTAATTGTACCATTTGGGCAATGTCTGGAAATACTTTTAAATTTATACTTTGCCTGAAATATTATCAAGTAATCCTAAATGTATCAAATGCATTTCAGACAAACTCAGAAATACCAGAATAAACATATGTATATCTTTCACTTTTACAAGTGTGCCAAAATTTTCCCGAGTAAATGTTTGGGGATTATCAGACAGCTGTCAGTCATCATTATTGTAATCTTAAAATGAGCTAGCAGTTAGATCCCTCTAGTGTTATTCATGAAGCACATTTTCCAAGAATTAATGTTCTCAGGCACTGTAGGTGTTCAAAGAAAGTTTGTTGATTGAGTTGTTGAGGTTGCTGTCAGTCATAATTAGCATGCCTTTAAAATAGCATGCTAATTAATAAGCAATAAATATCAATCATATATACCTTAGTTCAGTGGTGCAATTTTTATTAACTCTCTCCACCTTGTGTGCACTAAAAGCCTTTTTTTAGCAAGCCTGTTATGGATTCAACCAGTTTACAGGGGGGTAGCTGGGTGGTGAGGAATTGGGATCAAATACATAAGGACAGACCACCACCAGAAAATTCCTTGGTCTTTTTGATCCATCTGAAGTCACTCCTGGGACCCCAGAGTAATAGGCTGCCACATTAATCACTTGGTCATCCAGCTGTTTCAGTGGTACAGTTGGGAGAGGCAATGAGGCAAGTGCCCCTAAAGAAATTTCAAAAAAATGAAAATAAACAGCACATGCTTGCTTACATTTTTTTACTGCTTAAACAGCATTATAAAAAGGAATTATCTTTATTACAAATTTTACAATAAAAATCTCGCAAAAATTTTTGATCCCCTATATGAAGTTTCTGGTTGTATCACTGCCTCTCTTAATTTTATTTTAAGAATGAAGTTTAAGAAACTCTTCCCTGGACATTTGCAAGTTGTTTATGTTGTAGTGACAGCAATAGCAAGCTCTTGAACAATAAGGAAACTTTCCATTTTGACTTTAAAGGGCAAGATCTCCATGACTGAGAAAAATGAAATGGGAAGATTGTAAAGTAATTTGTCTAAGGAATTTATTTAATAATAATAATTGATAATTGCAGCAAAATGCAAATTCAAGCTATACAGTAGAACCCCTCTAATCCATCACCTTTGGGACTGGGGGTATGGTCGGAACGCAAAAAAGGTCGGATTATCAGAAAAAAGTAAAATAAACAATCTTCCCCTTTGTCCAGTCTTTTTAGCACTGCTAATTTTTCATTTAATGAAAGAGTAACGTGTTTACGTTTCACTCCTGACATGTTGAAAACACACACACAAAACTTTACATGTACACACAATGTAAAACATATACCGTAATGAACACAGAAAAATACCACAGACGGTGAGTCACCGACGAGTCGGGACAAGTTTCTCGACTCCGACCACGGTCGGATTAACCGGAGTGACGGACTAGCCGAGGGCGAACTAGAGGGGTTCTACTGTATTTGACAAAAAAGATAGTTGTCTTAATGAAAAAAATGTCAATGAAGAAACCAAAATGAAATAATGGCAATCATATGAACTTAGCAGGGCAGTAGTTAAATGGTTTAACTAGGATTTCCAAACGCCCCACATTTTGGAACCTTTGGGAATTGAGAATGGGAAATCGTATTTACCGAGAATTCCTGAAGTAATCTTTTATATTTAAGCTTCTTTCGTTCGTTATTTTTAGGATTTACTTTGAATGTAATTTGGTTACATTTTATTGTTTTTGTTAAATAAGCGCCAACTGGCAGTTTTTTCGAAGTAGCTTAAATTACCAAGTAATAACTTGTAATATTAACACATTTGTAAATGAACAGGTGAAATTATATAAGATAATATCATAATTTTATTCAAGAATTACAAAAAACTTTAATTCAAAAAAAGTTTGGCAAATTCGAAACTAGATTATCTAGGAGCCAATTTTCTTGCTTTTCTGATCAACTTTTTCTGCAGATTCAGGAATGGGAAAACAAAAAAAATTCCCAAGCACAAGCATGAATGAATTCTGTCTGGAGACCCTAGGTTTCATAGCTTCAGAAGTAGATTTCCAGTAAGTAGATTGATGTTACAACAAAAGAAACTGAAATTTCTGTCTTAATTAGGTGTTTAAAATTTTCATGTTAACAATGGGTGGCTGGATAGATTCAAGTGTAACATTGCCTTTCATTGTTGAAGATTTTGTCACAACATTCTCTTCCATTGCATTATTAGTGAAAGTGCAGAGGTGAGGACAGACATGTGTCACATAGTTGGAAATAACAATTAATGATCATTACTCATACAAGAATACTACTCACTTGAAACTGGATGAAATAATCACAAAAGTATAAAATGTAATGTATACAATCAATGTTTTCAATGTATTAATAATAGTCCAGCATCAGGTCAAAGGTACAACTTTACATTCTATTTTAGAATTTGTGTTTCCCAATGAATATTACAAAATTCAAAAATTCAAATGCATATCCTACTTAAAATTAATATATTACAATGTGCATTTTTTTATATAATATAAAAATATGTAAAATGTAAGATTTTATTTGATGCTACAAAGAAAATAAATTTTTCATTAATTAATTATCTGAGATCATCATAAAGTGATTGTCATGTGATTGATAATTTTCATGTTTGAAAATGAGACATTTTTCTTTTTGCCACTTTATTTCTTGGGTTTCTAATGATCTGATTTGGTTGCTATGGAAGGTATGCTGACTTGTTTAAAATTCACTTTAACATTTGGCTCAGTGGCAAAAATGGTGGTAGGCTTTTTCTTATGAAAAACAAATGTGTGTAAGTAAGAAATTGCCACAATAACCAAAAATCCAGCAAAAACAAAAAAACAACTATTTTACTTTTGATGCCATATTTATGTTCTACTAGTATTTTGTTTGGTGATCTGTTATTACTGTGAGAAATTAACCACATGGCAATCATTTTATGATGAACTGAGGACATTCATGAAAAGATACAACAAATATCTTTGACCTATTAATAGTCCAGCATAAAGTCAAAGGCACAACTTTACATTCTATTTTAGAATGTATGTGTGTTTATAACATATTACAAAATTCAAATACTGGAACACCATTAAAAATTCAAATGCATGTTCCACATAAAATAAATAGATATTATAAGGTGTATTTTTTTATATAGTATAAAAATATGTAAAATATAAGGTTTTGTTTCATGCTACAAAGAAAATAAATTTTTTCATTAATTAAAATTGTCCTTTTCATGAATTGTCTTTAGTTCATCATAAAATGATTACCATGTGGTTAATTTCTCACAGTAACTACTTTAACAGTAACTATTTTACAGCAAAATTGGAATATTCTAGTTTTTCTACACAATACATTATAATGATACAATGTCATTGTAAGGAGAAGCTATCAAATGTGGAGTTGAAGTTTTTTCAGCCAGCATAACATTGTTTGCAGCAAATGAATCTATCATTCTTGTATTCAAGAATTACTATTTAAAGAAACTTGATGCATTCTCTTGTTGAAAAAATACATGGAACTATATTAGTCCATGTATTAACTAATATCATCAATGTTGCCAATGTCCTAAAATTGGATTAAGATAGATTGCATGGAATGAAGTAAAACCTGAAACTATCAAAAAATGCTTTGTGAAACATGGATTTGTTGTTGGATGCTGTGGATAGTGACATACATGATGGATATAAACAGGGTAGCAAATTCCACTACTGCTGTGAATGGACTTGGTAAGGCCATCACAGTATGTGTTGATAGAATCACATCGAAGCTTTTCATAAATTCCATCTATGAGAATGACAACTGGAATGATATTGAGGCTGAAAGTGACACCAAAATCGAGAATGATCCTCAGATGAGTTTTACTAAGAATTTTCTGTTGCTGGTGAATCAAATGAATTGAAAGATGCACTTTCAAGAGTTGCACAGCACAAATCACTTACCAGAAAATTTGACAATAATTCATTAATATAATTATTAAGGAATGATTATCGAATATAAAATGAGTATGAAAATGTGGTTGTGGCCAAATGTCTGAAAAACTTCAAACAAATGATAATATTAAGTTATTTCAAACTGGTGTGATAGGATTTATGTAATGCATCATGTACATAATGTTGTGGCTGACAGGAGTAGCAACACTGACCGAAAGGAGAAGATAAAAGAACAAGTAAAGAGCTGGCCACATCATCTTTTTGGATCTTCTAAGCAGACAAGAAGGATGAGATCACCCACATGGCCAACACAGTCCTAGCTTTGTTAATGTATTTTTTAGACTTTGTGTAAAAAAAATTAAAGAAATTCTTGTTTAATGTATTTTGAGTATCATTTTCTTTGTAATTAGAGTTTTCTGAGCCAATAAAGAGGGCAAGCCTAACTAGTGGCCAGCACAGTGTAATAACAATTGTTAAATAAACACCTTTAAAAAACTTTATCATAATTAGTGTTTAATAATTACACTGCTGTAATACTTTGCATGCTTACATTCCTTATACCAGGTGTACAGTTCAGTTATTCTTGTATAACACCACAGTTAGATTCCAAAATAACTATACGAAACAAAGGACTAATACAAAAAATAAGGTTAGATTCCAAAAGTTGGTAAAAGCTGTACTATTATTTTTTGTAATTAAGAGAAATATGTTTATTAAAGCAATCAATAATTAATTAACAATCACAATCAAAAGTATTACATGTTAATAATTTTTTCTTCACTGTTAAACACCGTTAAATGAGGATGTTTTCTTTTTGGCAAATATCATGCTTTGCCTATACCTTTTTATATCTATGCCTATATTATCATGCTTTGCAAATATCTTTGGCAAAATATCAGCTTTCCTGTTGACCTTAATCTTAATTAACAACATCATCATGATTTTTCTGTTTTTTTTTTTCATAAAATATGATCTTTTCATTTGCTTGCATTTGCTTATCTTTAAAATTTTAATCTTTTTATGTAGTAATTTTTTAATGTAATGTATAAAACAAAGCATAGCAACAGTCTTTCAGGTTCATTTAGAGTATTATCAAAGTTAGAATAGGAAGCTAAGACAAAAAGAAAAAAATTGCACAATAAATTCTTATTAAAGAAAACCAGGCGAAAGACAGGTAACAACATTGAAAATTTTAATATTCTAAAATCTGTGGAAAATATAAGACATGCATGCTTGCTTGAATAAAAAAGAATCAAATGACAGGATTTCTACTTAAAAATTTGACATTTTGTCCAGGGATGTTCTTGAACCATGCATATTAGAGCAAAACCATATTGTAGGAATGCTGTTTTGTATGAGTGATACTGTTTTGTATTCCTGACAAAGCAGATTTCTTTAAGACATTTCCTTATTGTTTTTTGTGACAGTTTTTGATGATTGGCTTAAAGAGGTTTTTCTGTATATATCAATGTCTTTTATAAACAAATAGAATTGGTTTTTAAGTTTTATTGTGATATATTCATTACATACAGTTCATTAACATAAAAATCATTAAATTTTTTCAGAGAGCAGATTGAATTAAAGAAAAAAATTATTTTATCTGATTCTGAAGAATGGCAGAAATCTAAAGATGCAATCGAAAGTGAAGAAAACTGTACCAAAGCTACTCTTCAATATGTAGCAGGTGTTGATATTTCATACAGAAAAGATCATGAACAAGAAGCTTGTACTGCCTGTGTTGTATGCAGTCTACCAGATTTAGAAGTAAGCAAATACAGTAAAACCTCTTTAAGCCAACCACCTCCAAAATTTAGAAAAACTGGCCATCTCAAGGAGTGGTCTTATCAAAGGGAATGATGAATATTGATAGAGTATTAGAGTATACTATATACAGAGAATGTTTATGGTACTACATAGTATATACAGTATTCTAGTATAGCACTACACAAGCTACTCTGTAGACAATATAACAAAACCTGTTTAAAAAATAAATACATTGCATGTAATTCTGCATTCTGTAAATGAAAATATAACGTGCACAGTCTTAAATGATTGATTTAAAATAAATAAACACTTGCTTTCTCTGTTTTAACTTTTTTAATAAGATAATGTCTTCACATTTCTTTTCTATTTTGTGAAATAGATCCCTTTTTCAGGTCAAACAAATTCTAAAAATTGCCCAAATCCCACCAAATTTGTCATCTAGTACCATTTTATTTCTCTATTAATGGAAAGAATAAATTTATTGGCTTTATTATATGATTTAGTTTTTAATAAGAATAAATAGACCATAAGAATAAAGCATAAGGTAACTTTTTAAGGATATTAACAGAAAATTATGAACTGTACAGTATATTCTCCATGATGAGACCAAATGGGAGAAAATAGATAATGAAGTTAGAAAAAAGATTAAGGTGAATTTTTACATCTAATACAACAAAACTACATGCCCAACATTGCACATTTTGTAAGCTTATGGTTTTTATTTTATCATCCCATCTGAGATGATGAAACTATAGTAGTTGCCTCAAAGAGGGTATTTCAGACACGAGGATTATGAGTCCAGGTGGTCATCGGTCAAGTAAATGAGTGGTCAGTTTAAGGCAAATTAAAAACAAGAAGCCTTATCAACAAAAATTCTGTTCTATGAAAATTGGTCATCTGGAGAGGTTTTACTGTATATTAAAGTGTAAGAGTTATTACAATATATTATATATGTATCAATTAAATGAAAATGAATATAGATGATATCATTTATCCATTTCATTTTATTTTAATTATTTTCAGAATCACTTTTGTCTATTATTAATAACTTGCAACTTTTTAGATATAATTTTTATTATATTTTAAAAATTTTTAAATATTGCAGATTCTATTTTCAAATATTCTATTTTGTATATATAAAATGTTATAGAATTCAATAATTTTAAAGTTAGAGAGGTTTAAAACAGATTCATAATTTCCTAAACAAAATTTATGACTAATGTATTACAAGAAATTGGAATCCACTGAAAAGTTGCAAATCCAATGAAATGGAATATGTGGAAGATGAGAAATGATAAACCTGATTATGTAACAAATAAAATTATATAAATACTGTATAACAAATAAATTCAGTCTGAGAGAAACAAATATTCAAAAAGAAAGTGTTTTGGATTTAAGATTCTGAGCATAAGACTTTTCAGTATTATGTTAAACTTTGT